GGCATTGAAGATGAAAAGTTGTGCTATTTGCAAGTTTTCGTCAATGGGCGTGTCCGTGGCGTGGCGTCAAAGATCACTCTTCGCCATGACACGGAAGTTGTCGTAACTTCAGTGTACATGCTCACATCTGGACCAAACTGTACATGTAGGATGAGAGTCCCGCCCTGAACACATGTACATGCTGACATTCACAGACAGTCATAGCGCACCTGCTGGCAACAGGAAGTGACTTTTAACGAAGCAGCCCCCGCCGCACGTTTTACCTACGTGCACGAATTTTCTGTGGTACGTGTATCTTGTCCAGACGCACAAAAAAGCCTCTTGGAGCGATGCCCTAAAATCAACAGGAAGTCGGCCATTTTGAATTTTACGTCAAATTTTGGATGATTTACACACTTCGTACTTTAACGAACTCCTCCTAGGGATTTAGTCCGACCGACTTCAAATTTGTGCTGTGCCTTCTAAAGGCATTGAAGATGAAAAGTTGTGCTATTTGCGAGTTTTCGTCAATGGGTGTGTCCGTGGCGTGGCGTCAGAGATCAAGTCTTCGCCATGACACAGGAAGTTGTTGTAACTTCAGTGTACATGCTCACATCTGAACCAAACTTTACGTGCTTGATAACTCTCCCACCCCGCTATGGAGGACCGATCCTGACACAGTCAGAAATAAATACAGAAATAAATAAATGCTCAATAAATAAATAAGCATCCAATTAAATACACAAAAAAATAAGTAAATAAATAAATGTAGGTAGTAATTAAATTATACAAGGAGACATAAATGTTATATTTTAATTAGTGCCTTTACTTATTCACCTTTGTTATAATTACCTTATTTGTTTATTCAACTTTATTTATTACTAATTTTTTAATGTATTTATTTATGTGTGTGTTTTAATATTTTGTCTGTTTTATTCTTCCTTTGTATTTATTTACCTTATTTATTTTCACCCATGGTATTTATTTCTGCCTGTCTTAAATTTTTGTATGCATTTCTGCCTCATTATGCAAATGAGGAGGGGCTGTGTCTCAAGGGGTCATCTTCTCTGCTATTGGTGGACCAGTCAGACAGGAGAGCTCCTACTCTGCCTGCAGACATCAACGATCTTGCCCCTCACACAGTCAGATGGCTTCCTTCAGTGCGCTGAGGTGTTTAACAACTCTGAAGACAATACTACCAGCAATGTCTTCCTTCTCTTTTCACGTAGAGCCGACAGACAGTGCTTTCAGTTTGCTGCATGCATGGACACAGAACTGCGGTATAGGGAGAAGCACACGGTCAGCTGGCTGCAGCTAAATCTGGAGTGCACTCGTATTCAATTCTGTATGGTAAATTCAGTTTTAACGGAGCAGAGCGAGCTGACAGGCAGAGTTAGAGACTTTTTCTGTCGTTTCTCTCTTTACAAAGACGCATGTTGCAGTCAGAGTCTTCTCTGAGAGAGCACGACATACAACACAATTTATCAAATTACACAACGGATATACAGTATGAAAATAAGATTGATTGGATTATACTCACAGGAAGTATAAAACCTCTACATGGGTCTATTAAAAGTAAAGTAACACAAAAATGTCAGGGAAATTACTTTACTTAGATTTAAGTACTGCAGTTGTACATTTGAAATACCTTCCTACCTTTCTGATAGGAAGCCTTCTTGAGGTGGTATAAAACATTTCTTCTTATATTCTGATTTGAGTTGTGGACAACTATGACCACATGAATTAAAAAAATTAAACATTTCACTGCCCAAGTCAGCTATAACACAAGTCTTGTTCATCAGACATGCTGTACAGTATTTGTGGACAGATTTTGTCCCAGGATTTCTTATGCATTTCTTCTTCTTCGTTGCATGATTTAGAATAATAAGGTGAGAAATGGGTCTATTCTGAGTTCATCCTGCACTGCAGCAGCTAATAAAGTCCATTTAATCCCAAAAACGCTTTTCTTTTAGGCAGGCTGGAGCAGAAAACAACTCACCTTTCTCAAGTTGTACAGTAATGTCACATGTGTATGAAGGTGGATCAAACAAGCTAATCTTAAATGTCAAAGTAGAGAGGAGCCTAGTAGGCCTATTTATTTTCATTCATTACACAATATGAATAAGCTATGCAGACAGTTGTAAAGAAAGAACATCTTTTTCTTCTGTTCTCTACTTGTTATAGTTACACAGTATTAGGGTGTGGGCTGTATTAAAAGTATCCACTGTTCTCCCATGCTCTAACACACAGTAACGATGAAATGTGTGCTGTTCTCACATTCTTCCTCTGTATGTACACATAAACAACAAGGCAAGGAATTTATTTTATTGTTTGGGTACATTATTGTTCAGTGTACATGCTCACATCTGAAACAAACTTTACGTGCTTGATAACTCTCCCACCCCGCAGACATCTACACGCCAATACCGATTTATATTCATAGCGGCAAGTGCTATGTAGCTCCACATAGGGGACACAGGAAGTGACATATAGCACTTCATGCGGCGTCGGAACCGCGTAGGAAATTCACAGCCGCACCGGCAGAGCTCCAGAATGTGCAACTCGGCCGGCTCACGCGCGGACGCGTTAAAGTGCGAGGGCCGCCCAACGCTGCTTGCAGCTTTAATTTATTTTTTTTTTTTTTTCTGCAAAGTAGGCCCAAATGACATGGCCTAAACATCTCGAAAACTCACCAAAATTTGCAAACATGTCAGAACCGGTGAAAAATTTCGTATTCTACAAGTTTCGCACATGGGCGTGGCAAAATGACTCGCTAGCGCCACCTAGAAAATTGGAAAATTAGCCCCTCGTTCACGTTCAACCTACATGTACGAAATTTTCTGGGGACATGTATCGTATCAAGACGCACAAAAAAGCCTCAAGAACCCATAGCCTAAAGTCAACAGGAAGTCGGCCATTTTGAATTTTACGGCCATTTTGGATGATTTACACACTTCGTACTTTAACGAACTCCTCCTAGGGATTTAGTCGGATCGACGTCAAATTTCTGCTGTGCCTTCTAAAGGCATTGACGATGAAAAGTTGTGCTATTTGCGCGTTTTCGTCAATGGGCGTGTCCGTGGCGTCGATGATTCGCTTGAAACAGGAAGTTGTTGTAACTTCAGTGTACATGCTCACATCTGGACCAAACTGTACACTAGGATGAGAGTCCCGCCCTGAACACATGTACATGCCGACATTCACCCACAGTCATAGCGCCACCTGCTGGCAACAGAAAGTGACCTTTAACGAAGCAGCCCCCGCCGCACGTTTCACCTACGTGCACGAATTTTCTGTGGTACGTGTATCTTGTCCAGACGCACAAAAAAGTCTCTTGGAGCCATAGCCTAAACCCAACAGGAAGTCGGCCATTTTGAATTTTACGTCAAATTTTGGATGATTTACACACTTCGTACTTTAACGAACTCCTCCTAGGGATTTAGTCCGACCGACTTCAAATTTGTGCTGTGCCTTCTAAAGGCATTGAAGATGAAAAGTTGTGCTATTTGCGAGTTTTCGTCAATGGGTGTGTCCGTGGCGTGGCGTCAAAGATCAAGTCTTCGCCATGACACAGGAAGTTGTTGTAACTTCAGTGTACATGCTAACATCTGAACCAAACTTTACGTGCTTGATAACTCTCCCACCCCGCTATGGAGGACCGATCCTGACACAGTCAGAAATAAATACAGAAATAAATAAATGCTCAATAAATAAATAAGCTTCCAATTAAATACACAAAAAAATAAAGTAAATAAATAAATGTTGGTATTAATTAAATTATACAAGGAGACATAAATGTATATTTTAATTAGTGCCTTTACTTATTCACCTTTGTTATAATTACCTTATTTATTTATTCTCCCTTATAATCTTCAACTTTATTTATTACTAATTTTTTTAATATATTATTTATGTGTGTGTTTTAATATTTTGTCTGTTTTATTCTTCCTTTGTATTTTTCTACCTTATTTATTTTCACCCATGGTATTTATTTCTGCCTGTCCTTTTTAAATTTCTGTATGCATTTCTGACTCATTATGCAAATGAGGAGGGGCTGTGTCTCAAGGGGTCATCTTCTCTGCTATTGGTGGACCAGTCAGACAGGAGAGCTCTAGGCCTACTCTGCCTGCAGACATCAACGATCTTGCCCCTCACACAGTCAGATGGCTTCCTACAGTGCGCTGAGGTGTTTAACAACTCTGAAGACACTACCAGCCATGTCTTCCTTCTCTTTTCACGTAGACGCTCCGACAGACAGTGCTTTCAGTTTGTTGCATGCATGGACACAGAACTGCGGTACAGCACACAGTAACGATGAAATGTGTGCTGTTATCACATTCTTCCTCTGTATGTACACATAAACAACAAGGCAGGGAAATATAAAAGGAATTTATTTTATTGTTTGGGTACATTATTGTTCAGTGTACATGCTCACATCTGAACCAAACTTTGCGTGCTTGATAACTCTCTGACCCCCAGACATCTACACGTCAATACCGATTTATATTCATAGCGGCAAGTGCTATGTAGCTCCACATAGGGGACACAGGAAGTGACATATAGCACCTTCATGCGGCGACATAACCGCGTAGGAAATTCACAGCCGCACCGGCAGAGCTCCAGAATGTGCAACTCGGCCGGCTCACACGCGGACGCGCTTACAAGTGCGAGGGCCCGCCCAACGCTGCTTGCAGCTTTAATTGTACTTATTTTCCAATTAAGCATGGACCAATGGCTTTCAGAGAAATACAGAAGAGGGGACTCTTTAACCTCAGGGGGAAACTAAATGCTAATGCTAAGCAAGAGTGTATGAACAAGGTAAAGAGCAACAGTGAAGCTGACGTGCTGTGACAGTTATTGATGTGGCATTTCCTGTGTGTGGCAGAGGATACACGACGGGGGATGTTCACCTCTTCACACCATTCATATTTCACAGTAATCAGAAATGTATAGCTCATATACAAATTACCTAATCTATGGCGTGTTTGTAACTGCAACATTTTCAAAACATTATTCCTTTGTCACACTGTGCAGTGCATCCCTACTGCCTGTGAAATGTGTGGATGTGGTGGATCACTTTTGCAGGAACAATTAAGATGATGTCGATAATGTCAGCAATGATATCATTACAGCAAAATCAGTAATTTGACTCACCACTGGTCTGTGCACGTCCCAGAATGCTCTTTCCTGACTGTCGAGAATTTTCCTCTCAATTTTGTCTCTTTTCTTGTCCACTCTGAAAGAAAAAAAAAGGAGTTCAGAACTGTTTTTACAGAGCCTGTGGGTTATTCCAACACACGTATGATCCGTTTATTCCATCACATGGTTAATGTGCAGTTCATCTGTGAAGGTTGTGTGCTGCTAATTACAGGGAAATCGTAGCAAACCACTAAGTTAAATCATGTCATAATGAGGGTGTAAGAGGACTCACTCATAATGGCTCAATGCGTGTGTGGTTCTTATAGAAACCTACTTCGCTTGTGCTTCTGCTTGCATAAAAATGAACTCCCATTTCCTGGCGAAAGCTCTCTGTAGCCTTGCTAGGCTCTCCTGCAATGGAAACAAAGAACAAAAATGGGGGGGGGGTGGGCTTTAGAGGGGCCTGGGCTGAATATGTTTACTGCACATGATGTGTACAGTGCATGGCTGGATACCATTTTAATGATCACATACAAAAGAAAAAATCCTTGGTGATTCATTTAATAGCTTTGGTGAAAGGATAGTAACAAATGATGCAGTGACACACAGAAAACAAATGTTCTCAGTGTTAGTATGACCAAAAAGGCAAGAGATAAAGTCTGAGAGCCGTGCCAACACAGGAACAGAACAAATACGTGAAGAGGGGAGTGCTGACAATAAAAGACCTCTCTCACTTACCGCTTCATAGTCTGCAAGCTCCAGACGTGCTTTATTTTGCATTGTTCTTTTGCAGAGGTAAACAGCTGAGAGAGAGACAGAGAGATTGGTAATAGAGGGAGAACAGGATCTCAGCTTGGTTTTAACAGCCTTAAGTGGCCCTGCGTTTACTCATTTAATCCTCTCAACTGCACATTTAAACTGGCCTGCATATCACAAAGGTCATTGACTGTGCATGGTGTCTGAGCGTCTGTTACAGTGTGTGCTTGTGTATGTGTGTGTGCACACCTGACTTTAAATTTTTTTCTGTCCTGTAATCATCCATTCATCCCTTTGTTAACTGACCATTATGTGAAAACTTCATTATGCCATTAGACTGTTTTCATTAGGAGGCATCATTCACGTGAATCAGTTGCTACATCTGAGACACTCTAACTTCCCCTAACACTCAGGATTATTCCCACAGCGAGCATTAGCCTCTCCTACAACTCAAAAACAAATGAAAGACCTGCAAGGCTGCGGCTATTCACCCAAACCATTTCTGGCATTATGAAATGTTTATCTCCACTCCGCTCTGCTGTAAACAATGAAAAGCTCATCCCTGTATCACCATTAAAACATTCAGCCAAATGTGCCCAATTGGTGCACACATACAAAAACATCCCTCGTTTCCATCACTGTAATCAGTCTGCCTCAGTCAGAGAGTATGACTGAGGCAACTGACTGAAGTTGGAATACATTAAAAATAGAAATATATAAAATAGAAATAAGATAGAAAGCACAAAGCATCATTGCACGCCAACTGCACAATAACCGATTCTAACTGTGGGCCAAGCATCTAAAACAAAATTTGACTCTATCTACCATCCACATACAGCAGTTGCATCATTTCTGTTAATTTTTTGAAACATCAGCAGTAATAACATATCGACTGGACAAATATATTTTATGCACTACAAAAACAGTGTGCATCATTAGTCTCTTCAGTACTGCTTGATGCACAAAGTAGCAGTTAGACTATAACAGAACAACTCTCTCACCATAGTCTGTGTTTTCTGGTTCCCAGCAGTTTGATGGCCAGAAGTATGGAGTCTGTTGGGAAAAACAGGTCATTATGAAACAAAACTAAAAGAAACCTTACTTCGTTGACAGCAAACCACATGGTGTTTTGAATCAAAGTGAGCACTTTCCACGCGAGGTGGGCACGCAGTCACAGCCCTGCGTCTGCCACAATAAAACATTTTGTTGTATAATGGGCTCGGCATAACATCTAAAGCACATAAGCTCCTTTCAGTGAGCACTGAGAACAGACAGCATGAATCTTGACCCTCCTCAGGCTGCATTGTATGGACTGGTTTCAGATGAAAACCGATTACATGTAAAAAGTGAAGCCTGCTACTAACACAAACAGCCTTAGGCATGGATTTACTTTGGTTAGTTCTGTGCAGCACACTTGGGGGAGCTCACTAAAAATCTTTAAAACTGCCAGTCCCACGACTGACATTCAGAGCAATATAACCTATAAATATTATGGTCCACAGCAACTCCTATTTACCATTTTGACTCCAGTAACAAAGAAGCACTTTAACAGATTTCTCTACTTTCTTCTCTGGCATGTCACCCTATTTATAGACTCCAACATGCTCAGCTATCCGAGTTGGAAATTTGTCATGTGTAAAATAATTTTTGTACTTTATCAGCATGGAAGGCACTTCAGATGTTTTAAATAGAAATGACAATAAAGTATATTTCAAACTTACGAAAAGTATTTTTTCTTTATGAAAAATACATAAAACAAATAATTTTTCAGTCCTACAAATCCAATGCAAACCTGTTGGCAATCACAACTCTGGAAATCTGGATTGAAACTTTCTGTTTACACATAAGTGAAAACCTTCTCTATAGGTCATATGATGACATAACACATGTTAAAGTTTGTATAAAAACTGGCACAATATACCTCTAATAAAAATGTGGATGAAAAAATAGTACAAACTATTTTTTGTTTTATTGGACTAAATCTAATAGTCCTTGATCCCAGCACTACAATTAAGGTCATTTAACTTTAATAATATTACAATAGATTTCTAGAGACTACGAGATAGTATAAGATCCTTGAACACAAATCATCATTATTCTTACCTGAAACCTATAGAAAGTGCCATCATCTTTGAGAGTGAGGACATGGTCTGAGATGGGGAAGAAGTAACCATGTGCAGCCATCAGAGTTCCTAGGTGAAGAGCCTCCACTGGGAGAAAACACAAACAAAAAGTCCATTTACAACTTGGTGTACTCCTGTTTCATGTACATAAAACATTCACACATGCATCAGCATCTTTTGAGTGTTCAATGAAATGGCTGTGGGCAGGAAGATTTTATTATTTTAAACAGTATAATTAAACAACACAGTCAACTGTTGTACAGATATTTATACCGCTACTCTGTGTTTCAACAGAAACTTAACATCTTTCATTATTCCAAAACAGTGAGATGTAGTGGGAACTGAAAAATATATATTATATTATAGATCTTTAATGTGTATTTTGGAATCCATAAAAAGATTATGTTGGTTTAAATGCATATAGCTATGTTCAAAAGAAAATATAAAATGTAATTTATCTTTACAGATAAATTATTATCCAAAATATTTACTCACATTCTCTAAGAAAAAATATCTTTTTCAAACAAAATAAAAAATTTAAACCAATATTGTAATCTCAGGCCTTTAAAGGAATTCAATTTTATGTTACTTTTTTAATAATAATTTGACATTTTCAGGTTTGAAGGAATAGTTGTTTGCTATCTAGCAAAGTGTTACAGTGCATGATAAGGTTGATACCGCTCTCATATTAGCTTAGCTTAGCACAAAGACAACAGGGGAAAACAGTTGCAAAATGGTAACAAAATCTATCTATCTATCTATCACCAACTCTTAAGATCAGTAATTAAATGTTACATCTCATTTGTGTAATCTGTACAAAAACAAAGTGTCAAAACAACAATCCACCATTTTATGAAGGTGGTTATGTGTCAGACTATTTCTTTCCCGATGACCACTACCTTCCAGGAGTTTACACTAGCTGTCTGGCCATTGCTCAGAGCCAAGAAATAGACACACTAGACACTTTGTACTGACTAAACAAACAAGATATGTTAATTTGTGAGCTTTACATGTGCTGGTGGGTGGATTTTGTTACCATTTGAAAAAGACTGTTGGTATCTGTTTCCCCCTGTTCCAAGTCTTTGTGCTAAGCTGAGCTAGCCACCTGTTGATTGTAGCCTTATATTCAACAGACAGAGCATGGTATAAAAATAATCTAATTCTCTGCCAGAAAACAGTTTCAAAAGTAAGTGATAAGGCCCTTCCGTAATATAAATTCAATCACATCCTCTTTATAAACACTGTTTATTCAGTTTATACCGAATCATTAAAAGACAAATCAAAATTTTCATTAAAAATTCTCTGATTATCCTGCACTCAATAGTTCCTCATCACAGACCCTGAGCCAGCATGCTGTTTTTTATCCCACCACCTAATTAACTTTATTCACCTTTCATCCCTCAGTATAAATTCATCCTTGACAAAATGACCAGCGAGAAAGAACACCAGGACCTGAATTAGGAGCTGCTGCTCTAATAGACTCTGACACTGCTTTGACAGAAGGATCGGCAGGTCTCCGTTCCAACCAAACAGCACAACAGGAGGTTTCACTGATTAGCCCCCGTTCAGCCGGATAGGCGGAACTCATCAGTCAAATCACCTGGTGTTGTACTTGGTTGGAGAGAAAACCTGCTTCCCTCTGGTGCTCCACACATGGTTGACTGTCCCTGATTTAAAACCATCAGATAATGAAAACATGTAATCATCATCAACAGTGTGTCTCGTCTGCCACCACTTATTTCCTGCTGTTCTCAACCTGTAACCCCTTTATGGTGTCGTCAGCTATTATTCATGTTCAGTATAATGTGTTGCCACTTTTTGGTCATTATTAACAGTAAAGGAAACAGTTAATGTGTTGTTCTCCAGTAGTGTCCTTGTCTGTTTATGTCACTTAATTCGAGTAGTTTAGTATTAACTGAATATTTTGTGTAAAGCCCAGGGGTGGCTAGCAGCAAACGGTAATCTTAACACACCCATAAGCTAACAAATGCAATGGTTGATATGGTCTAAAAAGGTAGAGCTATGAATGCTATAACAGGAGATTACTTAATGCATGCATAAAATATGCACATCTCTGCTCTCTCACTCTCTAACCCACACACACACCCACACATGCATACGCACTGGGTGCATGTGTGTGTGAGATAAATAGAGACTTTCCATTGGCTTTTCCTTTACCAATGAGTTGACTGTCACAGCTTTGAGCGGTCATGATGCGTATGTGTATGATTGTGTGTGTAAGTGGGCTGCATTTAGTAATAAATTATGACTCATAAGTTATTTAAACCTGTCTACCTATAAACACACTCCTTCCCCTCCACTGTACTATTTCTTACAGCAATATTGCCCCACATGCATCTGCATCTGTCTACGAAATACAGAGAAATTCAAGAAGACAGACATTTACAAACAAAAAATCCACTCATCCATACCTTTTTATTTATTATCCATTCAAAAATGTCATTTTCTGGATTGTTATGTCAGATGGGGTGAATGTCAGATGAAAGTAAAGTCAGCAAAGTATGAAAAATTACATCTAGGTCAGTGCTGTTAGAGCTTGCTGCCTCCTATTCTTCAAACACTGGGCTAAGTGCCTGTCTGTATGTGATGATTTGCTCAGCCTCTATGCTATTGTTAAAGTGAAGCTGAGGGTTTTTCTGATGGGAGTTTTAAGGATGGATGTTGAATGTCATCCCCACACATAGTAACTGATAGAACAGGCCCCCCCCCCCCGATGCTGCATAGCCTATTTTGCTCATTTCCAAATTTGGAAATCATCCAGCACAATTTGAAAGGCAGATACATGAAATTTGATAAAGCTGAGCTGCAAGTGGTAGTGCAGAATCCAGTAGAAAGATTTAATTTCTTCGAGTATATAGAACATATTCAGTATGATGGGCACAAAAGAATAAATCTGAAAATGCAAAATCAGACTAATGAGATGGAAGGATAAATAAAAGATTAAATAAGATTGTTTTGTTGTTACCTTTCTAGTAAGAGTCTATAAATATCAATTCCTGGTAGCAAAAGAGCTTCTGGCTTCCATTTAACATATCACAGGCTTTTCTATAAGTTATATAGCTGACTAAACCTTGGACTGGAATTAGTCAAGTTGTCAAGAAAGGCCGGCCTCAGAGTCCAGGGGGAAATCACCCATTGATTTCATCATGTTATCAGGTCTGTGCCAAAAACTTAGCAGATTGGAGCCCTGCCAAGTGGTGTGTGGAAGTATTCTTCCAGCTGAGCTGTATCTAAAGACAAGGAAAGAGACTCTGTAGTTTAGTTATATTTTGATTATAACAGTATTTAGAAATACAGTATGCATATTTAGGATAGTGATAGAGTACATTCACTGAAGTTCTATACTTAAATGCAATTTTGAGGCACTTGTACTTCCACTCTACTGCATTTCACATGATATTTTTGTTTTTGTTTCTTGTTACTTTGCAGATTGAGATTTTACATTTAAAAAATGGCATCTTATAAAATACAATACATTATGAAAGATAAAACCAGTTGTTTAATCATTTTGGCCTGTGACTCCTTCCTAAAATACTGTCTGGTTATAGTCTATAAGCTGAAAGCAGTCCCAGAGAGATTTACCTCTCTAAAAGTCTTAGATGGTTTTATTTACATAATTGTTTGAGGGTAAAATTATTCAATATTTGACATAAAAAGAAAAGTCTTCAGACAACTCTAAAATATTAATACAAATATGTGTTTTCTACCCCATTAATCATCTCACAGTCCCTCAGACTTATCTTGTGAGTAGAATTTCTATCCCGACATTATTACATCAGACAGATAATTTGTGAATAAAATCAGGTAGCTTCTACTGTTCTTAATGTCATTTGGAAGAGAAGAAAGACAGTGGTGTACTCGCCTCTAACCCATCTCTGATTAAAAACAGAGCATGTTACCGGGTGTTCCTCGTAGGGATCTTTTCCATGATGTTGTCAGACACCTGGTATAACAATCAAAGAAGCACTTTTCTTTCCTAAGGAAGTTACAAGGTTTTATACATTTGTATGCCAGGGTAGCAGTGTACAGAGGAGTGATCTCATGAGACTGAAAAAGATTATCTAAATCACTCTACTTTAAGAGTGACTCTCAAGGAAGTTTAAAGAAGGCTGGAGGAGAAATCCAAGAGCATTATACAGAACAGCTTGCGCCCTCTCCATGCTGTTCTGATGGGCCACATGTCCTCCCTCAGAGATCATTTTACTGTTCCCTGGTATTGCACAGATCACATTAGGTGCTCTTCAATACGCAATTCACAACTTTATTAATATATGATATAGACTCACAGACAGTCTGACTGTTTTTTGTTGATGTGATTTTGAAGTTATGTTAAATGTTAAAAGTGTTGCTGTTTGACAACTAAATTTCTCCCACAGAGATCTAAATGTTCTAAACAACTATTCTTTTTGTATATGTATGTTTGTATTATGCATGTATTTATGTACGTACTGTATGTAAGTATGTATTTTGGGCATTGTGATAAACTACTTTTTCACAACTGTGATAACATTTACAAAATTTGAATAGTAATGTTACATATTTTTTACTATAATGATATCACTAGAAATCCATTCGTCTGTAATTTCTGCTTTCTCTCACACAGGTACAGAACACACACACAGAGAGGCAATGACTCCAGCACATGTCAGTCAAACAAAAAATACTCCTGAGAGGAAGAGATTTTATCAAACAAAATTTTACTTGCTGTGCTGTGGGAATGCATTAGATTCTATAAAAAGGACAGTGTTATCTTCTTATCTTATGTGTAGTTCAACATCACACACGCATACATGCACAGATATTCACACATGCATACAGAACATATTGTTTCCCACCTCCCTGTCTCAAAAGCTCATTTACCCAGCTAACTGCTATACAGTATGTGGCTAATGATTATGTAAATACTTGAAAGCTGTCATATATATATATATATATTCTTGGACTCAATGCTCTGCGAACGGTGCGAGCTCAAAGGCCGAAGAAGAACCACCAAAAGAAGAAACCACTTCCCCTTGTACTGTCTGGGATCTATGTTCAGCCCAAGTCAGGGATGAATTATTACAAGCTACCTGTGAATTGGGTTCACCCTGGGGAGTTTCACTTATTGCTACCTGGATACTATGTTGAACAAGAGAGGTTTCACCAAATTTATCTTAAAAAATATGTCCTGCCTTTTTAAAATGATCATTAAAAGCATATGCCTCTTATCTGTTATAACAGCATTTCCTATATTCAACTGGTGAGAAAAGCTGTTAACTTTCTTATTTTGTATTGCTCTAATAGTTTTCCAGAATGTGGAATGGTCATGCAAACTAATTGACGTTTGTGCCAAGGGTTATCTAAATTTTTTATCCTTAACTTCCTAATGGGGGCATGTTTATTTTCATGCTTTAAGAAATGTTGCTGTAAAAAGCTACAGCATTGTCAGTGGTAGGGATCAATTCAGTTTGATACAATTTCACTCTGAATAAATCTTGTAGAAAAGCTTGCTCCGAGAAGTGCCTGAAACAACGTCAACAGTCCGACCTTCAGATTTGGGTAATTTTGTACTCCTAACACATATAGTACAATGATCACTCATGTTATTTGGAAAAACACCAAACATATTTATGTGGTGCATTTGTTAAAATAAAATGAGTGTATCTTTTCTGTGTTGGATTAAAGAAAATTTAAAGATGTGTTTATTTCTTTATTTTAAAGAAGAGTCTATATTTTATAGACAGACCTGATGTATTTGTCACTATACAGTGTCATGGAATGTATTTTAACAATAACATGACAGAAGGGCTGCCGACTGATGCTGGAGAGTCTGCAGCGGTTTTTATCACTCTCCTGGCCTAATCAAAACCATAATACAGCAAAGCTAATTCATACTGTAAGCGACTCTGTTAGCTAAGCAGTCATTAGTTCATTAACCCCTTTAAACTTAGGGTTGCTTTCCTTCTTCCTTACCTTCATTTACAGTTAACTGATAATGTAGCAATCTGTTGGGTTTTTTTTCCTATGGGATGAATATATTTTGAGATTTTCCCACCAGTACTCCCATCATGATTTGGGTGATGCTAAGGGCTACACTGAGCCTTCTGTTTACATTATGGTGAATCATAGTGAATTAGGTGCTACACAGATGTAAGGACAACACACAACTGGATTACTTTTGAAATTGCAGCAAACATCTGTATTTGGTGATTATGAGACAAGATCTGGAAGTAAAAAGAGTGTCTTACTTGTATGATTATTAAGTGGATTTATGAACGTTTAACCTTAATGTATCAGAAATACTCATTTCACTCTTTTATTTTTAAGTTGTAGATCATGTAAACCTATGGCTCCTCTTTCACATTCATCTTCTGAGTGTTTTCAATCCCTTTGTGAGATGTCTGACCAGCACATTAATGAATGGTAATGAATCGAGTCTGGGCCACCGTAAATGCGGAAAAAAGTTAATTCAAATAGTTCCCCTGCCAGACAAAACAACTGGCGTTAGAGAAACAATGAATGATAATGATCTGCAATGGTCTGACTTGAAAAAAAAAACTAATATGGCAAAGAGTTACATATTCAAAACCTAAAAGGTCCAAAAAGACATCTACAACTTTTGACAAGATCTGGAGACAGAAATATGCAAATGTGGTATTGAATGAAAATAGGATGGGGGACTACAGAGATTACAAAATAGGATGATAATGTTCATCTGGAGTGCGTCAGTATATTATCCGTGGTATTCATTTAGCAAAAGAAAAGTCTAAATCCCCAGTCAACTTTGATATAAGCTCATCTGCCTTTACATAATAAACATGCTGCTATCATGCTGTGAGCAAAATTAATTGCATTTACTTTGCTGTGTTTGTCAGCCCTTCCAGTGCACAACACTCTGTTCCCCACCGCAGGGCAATTGACAGCATGTTTTGTGTCTGTTTGCAAAAGAAAAATTCACAGATTTAAAAAAAAAAATCCTAAAGGACAAGAAACTGTCTGTTTTCAGACTCTTTGCAGCATTTTTTTTTTTTTTTTTTACAAATCTGATTGAGAGAACTGTTACGGAAGAGCATTTTCAGTATTGCAGATGACACAAAACACTATAATACACTATAAATGTAAATTTGCTTGAGGGAATAATATATGTGTTATTGCCAGACCTCAGTAACAGTGCAACAAAAATAAGCATTTTAGGCCCAGTTTAGCACATTAAGCAGAAGTAATTTGGCACAGTTTTTTGGCATGGCATGGAGATACATTATTAATCACAGTGCAGTCTGAGGCATGAGAAAAAGCTAAATTTCATACTTTAAATGTCTGAAACTGTGATTCTCCGCATAAATAAAGACAAAAAAACACACAGTCTATCCACTCTAGTAAGTTCAACAGATCTCAAACATTGCAGAGGTGTTTTATCATGATCTGTCTATTTCCTAGTGCCCTTATAATCACACACAATGATCTAAACACCCACAACTGACAAATGACAGGCAGATCCTTCCCTACAAACGAAACACACAAAGGAATTGTGTGTTGATGAGTCAGCTAAGTATCACAACTATGAACTGGCTGCAGAATACTGAGGCGCGCACTAGAGCAGACACTGGATGCCACCCACACATAAAAGCACATACGTAGCTATACTTCTTTATCATCCTTTTTAATGCAAGCAACTGGTTTAAACTTCTAATATTTATCATAGTTCAACATGCTCACTTCTGAGTCATTTTATGTGCAACAAGAAGCTCAACTAATGATCTGGCAACTCCCTCAAGACATTTGAGTTTTATTTTATCACCCTGGACTAAAATAAGAATAATGTGAAAGAAAAAAAGGAAGAATAAGAATTCCAGTGTCTGCTGTAGCTCAAGGGCACAAAAAGACAGACCAAATAAAAATGCAGAACTGTGGACTTAAAGGTACATATTCCACAAAAGCATGTAGGCCTTTGTGTTCTTCTTTCTTAGTGCAGACTAATGAAAACATCTAAGTTGAATTTGTTTTTTACAATATCTGATCACGTCTCTTGTCATGCCCTGAAAACCACCAGCAATCTAAAAATATACAATAATATACAACTGTAACAACACTGTCAATTTAGTGTTAAGTCTTTAGATTAATATTAGCATTAATTAGAAAGAGACTACACCTCACACTGTTTTCATAGATCTGTGGTTTTCTACGTCTGACACAGTGGGCCCCCCTCAGGAGGATGCTTCAGGGATATCAACAGGAAGTATAATGTTGCCATGGAGTCAGCTGTTAGGCTACAACTTGAGCTCTGTTTTTAGTCTATATTAGCCTATAAGTGTTTTGTGCCCTAAGTGGTTTAAAGTAGCCTACCTTAATTGACTCCATGAGCTGTGTGTCACATGTTTGGCTGCAGCTCCAACTGCGGACTGTGTAGTTAAACAGGCCAAATTAGCAGCCAAACAACAATAACTAACTTTGTTGTTTTTCAGAGCAGTGGCATGCACCTGCCTCTTATACCTCACACAGTATCTTTGCCTCACGCCTGTCGACCACTGCACTAGATTAATATTGATCAGCTCTTTTACCTTGATCTTCGATGTCCAGATTCTTGATCATCCACTGTACAATTTCAGAACCTGAAATGAGAGAAAGCACATAAATATGAATCACTGACATATCAAATATATTCACAGTCACAGTGCGCTGAAACACCTTTTTGCATATAGATGCAAATGAAAGAGAAAACAATGGCACTCTTAACCCTACCCACCTCCCCTCATCATCACAGTGCATACCAATTCCTCTCGCCTTGCGCCATGTGGGTTAGTAATAGGCCACCCATTACCAAATTTTCTTTTCTGACACCCTATCCAAGCTGTAGTCCATTAATACAAATGACCAAAGAGACAAATGGCATAATGAAGCATCTATTGTGTACAGTAACAACAGAATTTGTCTGACTCAGTCACATCACAGGCATTGTAGTTGCAATTGTTTTATATAATCAGTCAATGCATCACACCAGACACTTCCAACTGTCACAAACAAAAACTAAGATATAAACAGGTCACAATATGGCCTGAGCAGAAGAGGGGAGAGGAGAGGAGAGATGCATTTAACGTAAAGCAGTGTCATGGTTTTGGGTTTGAGCGTGGTATTTTCCTGTTATATTATTGTTAATGCCCATTCCTGTTTCACTGGCCCTGTGTTCTTGTCCTTTAGTTTGTGTCAGTTGATCATTAGTTCCATGTTCTCTGTTGCTGTTATTGGGTTACACTCGTCCTTGTGTCTTGTCAGTAGCTTTACTCCCTGTATTTCCCTTTATTTTATAATCATCTGTGTCTGGTGTGTTTGTCTAGTTTTGTGTAGACATGTGTCTCACCTGTGGCTAATTGCCCTGCCTGCTTGTGTGTGCGTGTGTGTGCCCCAGTATATATTGCCCTCAGTTGTTTTCTGTCCTTGTAGTGTTGCCATCATTGTGTTGGGAGTGTGGTTTGTGTTCATGTTTTCCTGTTTAAGTCTGGTTTTGGTTCTGTGTTTCTCTGAGTAGCCTTGTTTATTATTTTATTTATTCACATGTTCTAGTTTACTTAGTATCTGTTTTCATGGGTTTGGTTTTGGATTCTGTGTTTCTATAGCTTTATTTGACCTTGTCATGTTTAGTCTTTTGTTCATTCGCATGTTTAAGTTTTATAGTATCTGTCTTGTCTCATATTCTAGTTTTGTCCTGCATTTTTATCTTATTGTCTACTCCTGGTCTGTGTACTTCTGTATTATTTAGTCCATGTTTGCTCTGTGTTCTGTTTAATAATAGTTCAGTCTGTTTTCCCTGTTAGTGGTAGTTTATTGGTATATTTGTGATCTGTCTGCTTATGTTCTGGATCAGTTGTTAATATTCTGTTCCTTCCTGGTTATAATTAGTTTCTCTATGGCCTTTTGGTGTCATTGGCTGTGTCCGAAACCCCCTCTCATTCACTACTCCCTACCTCCTATGTAGGGAGTTGTATGTAGAGCACTATGTAGTGAACTCACTCGCATTAATAAAACAACACTTTCGGACACTACTTTTTCAGTGGACCCAAAGATTGCTATGGACCTGAGTACAGACTAGCTAGAGAGAGTAGATTAAGTGTACTTCTCTCAATTATTTGCTCAACCCCTCAGGCTGTTTTTATTTTCCATTTAACTCTTTTAACCCTGATTGTACACTGCACTGTAACTTTTACTGTCCTGTTTTACCCTGTTTTTATTTTCTATTTCACCAAAATTATATTTTAATGTGTATTTTTTCAATTTCCCTATGTTTCTTTTATATTTAATGTAAAGCACTTTGAATTGCCTTGTTGTTGAAATGTGCTATACAAATAAACTTGCCTTGCCTTGCCTTACTCCGATCGTTATTTCGGCGCCGATAATTACGTCATTGCCGTCGGACAAACAGTTTTTTCTATCAGCGCAATGCGTGATGGTATGTAGGGCTTGGTTAGTGACCATCGGTTGTACACTACTTTTTAAAATGCATTCTGGGATACACTGAGTGGACTATATAGGGTATTATAATAATCACTATACATTCAGACAGCACTGCAAAATGGCGAGCTCACTATATAGTCCACTATATAGTGAGTTCGGACACAGCCTTTCTATTTTCCCCAGCTGTCTCTCTGCCTGCCTGTGTCTCATTAGTCCTGATCCCCCTCACCTGTGTTGCTCCTGCCCTGCTCGTTAGTCCGTGTGTGTGTATATGCCTGCTTGTGTCTCCTTGTTGTCAGTGTTGAGTGTTCTGCCTAGAGCTCTGTATTTGCCTGGATCTTTGGATTACCTTGTGTTTTGGATTACCTTGTGTTTTGGATTACCTTGTGTTTGTTGGATTTACCTCAGTTTGGACTTTACCTTGTGCTTCCACATAAGTTTGTTTCAGTTTGGAGTTAATAAATCTTTTGAACTGCACCTTCGCGTATTGTCTGTATTTGGGTCCACACCTTAGACTGCACTCAGCTGACCCCCCATGACATATTGTATATTGAGTGTTCTGCCTGTTTCTGCGTACTCTGCCCAGTTTTTGGATTTATGTTTTTAACTACCTGCCTTTGTTTGGACTTCTGCTTCACCTTGTATAAACCTGAGAATTTATGTTGTACGTTTAAATAAATATCACCAGTTGAATCCACTCTGCTCCGGTGTCCTGCATTTGCGTTTATACTCTGTATTCCTGCCTCTGCACTCAGTCAATCCTGACAAGCAGAAGACAAGGCAAGACACTATAGGCTACATATATACATTTTTAACAGATGATACAATCATTAAAAACTATTTTGAGGGGATTTCTTGAGACGACCAAAATGGACATCAAACTTTTAATATGGTGGATGACATTTTGCAATTCATCTTTCATCTGAGAATACAACTGTATCCTTTTCACATCTCAGAAATGCCCCCTGGGTATTTTCACACCCCACCACAACTTTGGCACTTGGCTAATTATATATTCCATGCTATTATTACTCTTTTCCATGCTGAGAGGTGAAGGTGTGTTGAGGAGACGAGAGCCACAGAAGCCAGAACAAAGGTGTGAAATGAAGGCATGAGAGAATTCATGCAGTGAGAAAGTCAGTCCCTGTGGCGGTCTGTCTGTCCATCAGGCTATATTTCTGTCTCTGTGTGTGTCTCTCCATTTTTCTTTCACTGCGCCCCGTTGCTTTTCGGCACCCCCACAACCAGATGAGATTTCCATGGATTAACATCATTAATACAACCCCATTTTCACACTATCAAAGTTGACCCACTTTCTAAGAGAGAGCTTAAATGAGACGTGTAAGGTAATCCTCTAACAAGGCTGTTCTCTGAATTAATTAATATCATGCCAATAGACGGGGCTGTGCATACATGCGTGTGTGTGTGGGTGCAAGCATGTGTCAGAATGTTACAATATTTGAATGTGATAAGCGATAACAATTTACAATTTATTATCCCAATGATGGCAAATATTGGATAACTGCTGTAGTAAATTGTATCAGGATACAGCAATTGAACATATCAAAGCCAGAATGAGAAGGATTTCCCTAAATAATAATGTATAGACTCATACAAACATTTGGGCTATATGGAAGTTTACATAGAACTACCGGTTTTCTCTCAAGAAGTTAATATACAGCTTATTATGATATAAATAACATATAATGCTATAAATAAAAATGCGAAAAGAAAGATTCTTTAAAAAAATCTTTTTAAAGTGTGTGAATAAATCAGTCAGTCAATCTGTGGCATAGTGGGTGTATGTAGGAACGAGGAAGTACAATCAGGGTTAAAAGAGTTAAATGGAAAATAAAAACAGCCTGAGGGGTTGAGCAAATAATTGAGAGAAGGTGTTGTGTGTCCGAATCATTGATGAACCACGCAATGAATATTACATTACATTCATTCATTTAGCGGATGCTTTTATCCAAAGCGACTTACAATTGCTATACATGTCAGAGGTCGCACGCCTCTGGAGCAACTACGGATTAAGTGTCTTGCTCAGGGACATAATGGTGGATGGGTCACAGTGGGGGATTGAACCTGGGTCTCTCACACCAAAGGAATAGTCTAATCCATTGCGCCATCGCCACCCCCTTTTTATATCATATTTAAACAGTAGCCTACTTGGAATAGACCTGCAAGAAGCCGCAACGTGCATGCAATTCTTGGCATGCACAACTCGGTACAAGACTCTGAATAGCAAGCAAGCAGAGCAGAAAGCAAAGTCTGCAGCTCTGCAGCTTCTCAAGATTAAAGTGGAGCTACCGTGTGTGTGTGTAACCCAACGCGGAGATGGCCTGTTTTCAGTTGGACAGGTAGGTGCTGGCAGTTAATAAGCACAATTTATACTTCTGCATCGTCAGTGCTTAGGTACGCCGTAGGCTACGCACATAGCCGTGCATATATAGTTGTGCATCGGTGTCTCCGTCATTCTGCAATTACTCTGCCAAACGCTAGCTGGCGGTAGCGCTACAGCGTCCACCGTGGTGACTTTTGCCGGCCGGGCAGGCTAACGGTTTAGCCATCCACTAACTTGAATAGGGGTAAAATATGTCAATGTCGGAGACCCAGCTTAAAAAAAGTTATTATCAAGCATGTAAGGAGCCTAGCTAATAAGGAGAGCTAAGTTAATGTTAGAATACAGCTGTATATAGCTGCTATTCAATATCGACTGCACTCGTGCTGTGTGATTAGAAATGTTTCAACATTTAAAGAGGTGGTATTCTGCTCATTTTCAGGTTCAGAATCTTATTTAGGGGTTGTACCAGAACAGGTTTACATGGTTCAATTTCATACACCAACAGAGGCGCAGCTCCTCTTTTCACCCTGTGTTGAAGGCTCGTTTTAGCTACGGAGTGATACATCTTGCCTCTACATGATCTTTGTTGGGAGTGACTCGTGCACAGTTCCTAATTAAGGACTACTAACCAATCAGAAACAGAGAAGGGCGGGTCAGTGAGAAGCCTTCGGTTCAGCTATATATCCCCTTACCAGCTTAGCAACATGGACTGGAGCAAGAGTTTCAAAGTGGTGAGTTATTAATCTGTAACAAAAGTATCTTTCATCCATAAAGTTATAACTGAGTTCTGTCTCTACATCACAGTAACAACTTTATGTCCATTAACTGACTGGAGGGTAGCTAGTGTTTGGAAGGGAGAGGAGAGGTGTGTGCTGCAGCTCAGTATTTTTAGGGCGTGTCGGACTAGCCACTTGGCGAGCGCATTTTGGGAAACGGCTGGACAAGCTGTTTTCAAGCAGTTCAGAGCAGAGTTTTCTATGGGAGATGGGAACTCCCTTTGGGCTGGACTTTGGGCTTTTTCACTTTGCAAACCTGTTACATGCACAAAAAAGATATACAGCTCAAAAAAGAGAGCGAAAATGGCAAAAAGCATAATACCACCTCTTTAAGATACCAAAAATACAATTTTATAACTCAACAGTTAAAGAAAAAAATGGGATCTAGGTACACCAGTCCTGTCAGCAATACAGTATTTTGAGAACAAGTGCTGTTATTATAACAGGTGAATATATTGGCAAGTGAAGAAATTAATGTATTTTATAAAAAAATTTGAGGGTCTAAGTGGTGCAGAGGAAAAACACACCGCAGCAACCTGTGTTATGTCCCTGACTGTGCTTACAGCGTGGCCAAGTGTTTCAATGAACACAAGTCGCAGAGTTCACAGAGGGGAAACTACAGAGGGACTGTCCTTGCTGCAGTCTTAGAAACTGCAAGGGGAGTAGTGTTGTAGCATGAAGCAGTCTGAACATTAAACTCTGTACACTTGTACATTTTGTTTAAAAACAGATTGTAATACTTATGATTATGATGTAGTTTTTAGACATGTGGATCCATGTGTAGGGTAAACATGATACTGTAGTTAGGTATAGGTATGTACTATATGTAGGGTAGGTGCAAAACAGCTACAAATACAAGTCATCTGTTGCAATTCTGTCATGTTCCTACAGACGTAGCCAGTGTAGCTGTTCGCAAGCTGTATTGATTGTGTACTATCCAACAAAAAGAGAACAGAAATGCATCTGAGCTGATGTTGCTTGGCCAGATGTCAGAAAAAAATACATTAAGGTATTAAGTCAGTAGATAAATCCTTAATATTTTATCAGAATTTTGAGACCAAAATTGATCTGTATCTGCAGAATAGATTATGCTTTGTAAAGCTCAAACTGTTATTCGCTGACACAGGCTATTAATTTGATACTGTCATGCTGTAAGTTTATATTACAGTATAAAGTGCGTTGTTTATTTCATCTTCATGTGCAGTTATGATGGCCTCACTCCTCTCAGCTTTTGAATGTAGTGTATTGGAGTATCACGCCAGCATGGATTCTTATATATCAGGTTGCACTGCCCGAAAATCCAATATAATCCCCTTGACATTCTGGCACTGCTGGTCTGAAATGCAAAATGGACAACTCTCTGAATACTTTCAGTGCTTTGTTTGGCAAGAACAGAGTACTAGTCGGGTTCTTAGTGGGTGGGAGGAGAGGAGAGAGCAACAGAACAGAGCAGAGAGATAAAAGCCTTACCTGAAAAAACACTTGGGATCTTGGTTAGAAAACTTTTCACTGTTCGGATTGGGATGCCATTTTTCTCATCCTGCATACGTGCTATTACTTCCTCCATCTGGACAACACAGGGACAGTGGCAGAGAAGAGGAGAGAGGGGGGAGAACGAGCATGAGAGAGAGTAAGTACTTTTCATGAACTTGCTTTAGTAAGTAGAGGCTGTGTGTGAGCAAGACAGAAAGAGGCAAACAGATACAAACAGGTTCCTGTGTGGTTCAGCCAATGTCTCTAGGGGACAGAGAGTGTGAGGCGAGGCAGTTGGTGACTAGCAATCACTGCTGTTAGATTTCTGCCTCTCATGTCATTTGTCACAAGAAAACGCCAGTAAGCTGCACTTATTGAATTCTGCAACAGCTATTGAATTTTGGAAGTACAGCAATGAAGTTTCTTGTCACGATCAATCACGGTATATTTGTGTCTCGAAACAGTCACACATCAGAACTTTGAGCTGAGAAGAAAATGTACAATGTCACTTAAAAAAAAAATTGAAGACACAAATGTTTGTGTTCAGCGTTGACTTTGAACCAGAAGCTACACTGAAGAATGACATGCACAGGCAAATAGACACAGACATGCACACACGCAAACACACAAACATCTTCACACATCACAGAGACAGAAATGTTCTGGGAGTTATTTCAAGGGCCTGCCAGGGCAACACAAGGCAGCCACATTTCCAAGAACACACAGAAGGGAGCAAAGCAGAGAGTAGAGCATGGCCCCGATAAGCCAGTTGGATTGAATGCCAAGAAATACCCCCAAATTCCTCCCTCAGTGTAAAACGTTTTCAGCAGCCTAGCAACTACACAAACAGGCACACATTAACAAACACACACAAAGAATGTGTTACTTTATGTCCCTCCACCTGTAAAGGATTTTCTGTACTAAGAGGTATTCTTTGGGGATGGTCAATTTCCTGTTTTTTCAGCTTCAGTGATTCTGTCACCGCAAATTGAAACACTCATACTCTTATGATTGGTGCAAAAATCTTAAAATCAATTCTAAGAGGCAATAAAGTTGTTTTTCATAATTTTCTGGGTTTTTTTGGAGTCTAGTACAGAGTATTCTAGCCATGATGTAAAAACAGCAATAACACATTTCCCAGGTCATAAAAAGACTTAATTTTATCTGTGTTCCTTAACTAGACAACTACATTCTATAAAAAGAGAATCAAAAAGTATACCCAAATTACAGGTGGTATACTTGACAATTGGACAAACTGCCAATATTTATTTGGAACACACTGATGGAAATAATAGTTTCTACTTCTACTTCATTTAGCTATGACATCCATCACTATGCATCCAATAGACATACTATAGTACAAAGTTTCCATTTTCACTGGATTTGAGTAGAATGATTAGCTGACTTGCTTTTGCATGAAAGTTATGTTATTTTTTTCAAAATAATATGCCCCAAAGACAACACGTAAAGTGAAAATAACAGGGAACTCGAGCCAGATCCCTGGAGAACAACACATGACGGCTAGGTGGGTCAGAGGAAAGAGCTATTCCAAGAAAACACATGAACCTCTAGCTAGCTAGCTAGCTAGCTGGCATAGCACTGTGTTGTGTAAATGTTTTGGTGTTTAAAATAGTCTTTTTGGTTTAAAATGTTTCCTTTTGATCTGATTACACCTAACATACAGTATAACCAACTGTAACTTAGTGTGTGATGTCTGTATGTTGTGGCTGTGCACTGCACTGAAGTGCTACGTTGTTCTCATAGGTCTGACTTCATGGATCATCCCCCTCAATTTTCTTTCCTCTCCATCTTCATATGACACACACATGACGTATCAGTGGAACTCATCTGGGAAAAGTAACGCAATTTAAATGCAGCCAATTGTATTCCGTACAAGTGAAGGTTTTGTGTGGTCGAAAATGAATTTCTGTGGCCATACTGTTGAGACAGGAGCAGTTGTGATGTAAATATGTGACTACTTGGGTTAGGCAGTTCATGAGCTAGTACTGTAGCATAATGCTATAATGAAAGCTTGTAGCTAGTCAAATACCCTAGAGCTAAATATCATCCCAGTTAGTCACTGGAGCCTAATTGACAATGATGGAGCACAGGCAAATATTGTAACTAAAGAGCTGCCAGAGGAGAATTGAAGGGCCAGCAAGAGAAAGAAAAACAAAAAAATGCCTGAATTGATAACAAAAATACGCATTTCCCAATTATTTCAGTCTGTTCTGTGAATCTCTTTCTCCCACAGATGTAATGCATGAGGCAGGTCAGTAGGTCTACCTCTACAAAATGCTTCTGCTTATTTATTGATTTTTCCTATTTCCACACTTAACCGATGTACGGACTGTTCCAAGTAAGACCCTACTGGTACCACTGTCACACCAATGGCATACCAACATCTTTACCAGCAGGAGTCTTAACGGACAACAATGTACACCAGCCACAAGATGGGTTTCATTTTTAATAAGGAACACTGCTGCAGTCATAGACTTTCACTACTTCGTTAATAGTCTTTCTGGGAAATGTAGGAATTCACCAAATTAGGCAAGTTGACAGGGTACATTTCAAAGAGAGAATTAAAAAAAGATACTTACAATATTTGATCAACAGAAAATGTCATGACATCTAACAGTTTAAGTATCAGAGGGTGAGATTTTTCTTTGGTGTTCCTCAACCAACACTAGATAAAGTAAGACAAGATGGTGGGTTTCAGAAGATAAAGACGTGTTTAAAATCAGTAAGAAACTCCTACATGCTAAAATCAAACCAAAAAAACATCCCCGTATTAATGTACTATTATGTAATTCAGGCTTCCACAGCTGTAGCATCTAAAACTGATGCACAGAAAAACAAAAAATACCAGTATTCATGTGGCCTCCTTTTATGTGTCGCATGCCTCATTCCTTTTGTTGTCTCAAAATTAATCCTAATTGTGTTCAGCTCATCCCCATTGAATAAGTGTGCCTTATATCGCTAACCTTCTCTCTGTATCTATGTCTCACTGTCTTTCTCTGAGAGTTAGCTGGCACTGTGCGACACGGAGCAAACAAGGACAACAGCAACAGTGATCAATACTTCACACACTCTCTCCTATCTCTGCAAATCCTCACCGCCTACACATGGTAAAATGCCACCAGCGTGAATATTCAGGATCTAAATCTCTTGAAGTCAGGATGCTCTCTGGCTTCATGTTGTGAGGAAGAGAGGAAAGTCGTTTCCCACAAGAGAGAGGGAGCGAGAGCAATAGTCTCTCTCTCTCTCTTTCTGTCCCCCACCCATCCACCCACCTAGAGCTGTCTGACTGCGTCTCTGCAGCCTCTTAACAGATAAGAGTGAGTGTTTTGGCTGCACAGTGTGAATCATTGAATAATGATGGCACAGGACTCAGTACATATGAAGTGACTAACAAAAGCTCCGGATATAAGCACATACTGAGCTTCAGCACACGGCACCAAGCACTTCAAAGACTATCACCGAGGGCACTCAGGGTGCAATCAGAATGTTCTGAAGCACCATTTGGAGCAAAACACATTCCAAACTGGGTTTTTAAATCAATGCTGGCCTCTTAGATATCTTTTTAGCCGATGTTAAGTGCACCATAAGTCCCTTATTTGACGGGCTGGTACTAAGAAAAGTGAGGCAATAAAAGAGTCAGTTATTAAAAAGGATCTTGAGCACATCAGAAAGGTGGGGTGTTTTTCGAAGGAAATTTCAGGATTTTATTGTATGTCCTGAGATAGCTCATTTGGAAGTGACCTTTATTAGTTACCCCAGCAATAAAGATAAGAGCTGGAAAATAGGTTGTTTTGCTGCCTTGGTGATGATGGTGGAGTGTTGAGCAGGTTCACACACTTTTATTTTAGCGATAAGAAAAGTAAACTGTGGTTGCGTACACGTGGTTCAGCATTTTAAAGTATGTACCATGTAAATTAGGTCTCTCCCAACCTGTTTTTTGCAATGGTAAACTATGTAAAACAAAAATGAGGATATACGGCCTAGATATTTCTGAGAACTGCTTCTGATAGCTTAGAACTTAGAGTTCAGAGACTGCAGTTTGTATGGGTTGAGTGACAAGAGGCACCTTTGTGGGCTAAACTACTATGACCTTGACATTTGCATTGGGCTACTATATACAAGCCATAGATCAGTAATGTGTTGATTGTACTGCACAACCTACAAATGACGCTATTTATCTGTAGTGTTGTAGTGCTTACCAACATATGCATTGAATCCCTTAAGACAGGTGAGTTTATTAGAGACAGAATGACCCATCAAAGTACATTTTTAATGAAGACAAAACTTGACATGATTCTTACTATCAAAATATGACTCAGAAGCATCCACTTGTTTAGTTGGCATACTGTGAAGGTGAGCTCATTCTCAAATACATTTATTAAAAGAAATTTACATTTGGTTATTCTTAGTACACACTTAGAGACTCATCTAGAATTCATTCCAGTTTCTCTCTGTCTGTGCAGATGTAAAAACCTCAAAAACTGTACTGGTAAGGAAATTAAAAGCTCTCCCTCTCTTCTGCCCCCTCTCCTGGACTCGTTTCCTGCGCTGTGATGGGTGAATGTCACTCCATCAGATGTAAGGGGACAATGGTTTTACCTTGACAGTGTTATCGGACGACAGGTGTGTCTACATGAGGGGGACAGATATTCCTCCCAACTCTGCATCACACAAATAAACACTCACACTTCACAGAGGAACATATGCATCCACACACACACAGACAGCACAGATATTCCCATCATTACATGGCGCGCTGAGCACCCAGTGATTATCAGTCATGTTGCAACCAGAGCATTTGCAGAAATACACACACACACACAGACATATATTATGAGAGCTTATGAACCCAGAAGATGGGGATTAATATATTTAAAAAAGCACAACATCAAAATAGGTGACTCCCAGCTCAAGTCTGGTTGCTGAAGGTGATGTGAGAGCAGCCTGAATAGAACCTACAGCTACATAGCATGACAGCTCGACTAGATAAAACAGCCTTTGCACTTGCTTGATCTCATTTCCTTCTGAACTGCAGCCCTTGGCTCCATGAATGAGGCAGAACCTCTTATGGAG